AGAAAACAAGAAAACACAGCCAGCCACAGTCTCAGGCGTCCATCCTGGCCCCGAGGCACCTTCCTGAGGTCCAGGCGCACCCACGGCGTCTGCCGGTGACCGCACTCAGGCCGGTTGCTCCGGGGGTCCGCCTGGTGGGCAGACCACTCCCGGGCTCAGTAGATGCAGGGTCTCCATCCATGACCGGCCTTCCCTGACTCCACAGGCAGGAGGGGTGGGGCTGATGCCCGTGTGCGGTCAAGGGAGATGTCTGATTCGGATTGAGTGGAAAAGAGGCAAACGTAACAACATTTTACGTTAAATGCACATTTCAGGAAAGAGTCTGGAAGGACAGCCAAGGATGCCAGTTACCTGGGGCTCCAGTGGTGCCCCGTCCATCCCAAGGCTGCGGGGGGAGCAGCAATGCGGGGCCTGCGACAGCCCCTCCTCAGGGGAGTCCACTCAAGCACGACCCCCATGCCTGTCCCACATTAGTAAAACCCACTGAACCTTTGTCCACTGCTTATGATCACCGTGCACTAGCAGTTCTAAACAATGTCCACCCCGCCCCTGGAGTGGACAGCACTGGAGTGAATGAAGCTCTGGGGAGAGAGGACTCAACAGCTGAGATAAATCCAGGAAGGCTCCTCGGAGGAGGCGGCCCACGTGGTAAAGGGTGTTGCAGAGCATTTCAGGAACGGGAAACTGAGTGCACCAAGGCTGAGCGCTTGGAGAATTTGGCCCACAGGGAGGGGATGAGCTATGGGAGAGTCAGGGTGCAAGTGAGCTTGGGGAGGCGGGTGGGGTGAGAACAGCCCACGAGTCCTCTCAGCTGCACCTGGAGGGCGTGGTCTTTGGGGCCACTGCATTCAAGCTCTGCCTCCATCGCTTTCTGGTTGGGAGGCTGGAGGCCAGGGACGCCCCCTCTCCCCCTGGTTGCCCATCAGTAGAGCAGAGGAGGATACAGGTGGTCTCCTCCCTGGGGGTGGGCTGTGAGGGTTAATTTGCGGATACAGTGCAGCGAAAGGCTGAGCTCCGAGTGGGGCTCTCAGTGGCCGCTTGACCGTTCTCCCCGTGGCTTTAGATACAGTCAGGCAGGGAGGGGGGTGCATCGCGTGCTTGGTGCCCACCTCCCTGAAGCCTAGGTCCCCCCCAGAGACAAGTCCTGTTTTGGAGAATCAGTGGGGGAAGAGGCATCCCTGGGGGCACTGTGCAAAGAGCAAGCCCCACCGGGGCCGTGCTCAAGGCCTCCTCTCAGCCTTTCTCACCTTCTGAAATGGCCCACACCCTGTCTGTGGAGTGTGTTTCTCTCTAAATAAATCCGCTTCTTACCTATCACTTTGTCTCTCACTGAATTCTTTCTGCAATGAGACATCAAGAACCTGAGCTTCATTAAGTCCTGAAACCAGGTGTGTGATCTCAGTTGGAAGACTGTGGGTTTGGGCTGGGTTCAAGTCCCACTCTCAGGTGCACGGTTTCAAAGGCTCAAGTTGATTCCCGCTGAAGCCTCACACCTGGCAGAGCCACTCAGGACACTCGGTGGGGGATAAGCCGTGTTTATTCAGAATACTCATGGATCTTAGTGGAATTACTTGCATTTTTGAGTCTTGACTTCCCTATCCCATCTTTGCTCCCTTTTGAACTCCACAGCAGGTCCACCAATAATGAGGCCAACCCCGGGGTGGACCCAGAGGCCCTGTATATCACGATGCTCCACCGGGAAGATGGTCCGATCCTGAAGGTGCCTTTGATTCCAAATCTACTGCCATAAGCGGAACCCAGGGAGCACAGTGGGGGATGTGGTTCAGATCAGGCCATCTCTGAGCAGATTGGTGTGATTCTGTGCACAGAGCCCTGGTATGAGGTCAACTCGATTTATGCGTTTCACTTCTCAGATCACTCCATAACTACATAGTAACAGAAAGTACAGAGAATTCAGTAAAAGCCACCGTGGAGTCCATAGAGGGGAAGTGGGGTGGTTGAGAAAAAAAAAAAAAAAAAAAAAAAAAAAAAAAGGCCTCCTCTCCAACCCTGACCTTTACCTGAAGCATGTGCTGTCCCTGGGGCTGCCCTGGTCTCCCCTGGGTGCCCAGCACCTGGCCGGTGCCCGGAGCGTGGAGACGCAGTGAGTGGGGGATGATGGACGGAAGGAGGGAGGGAGGGAGGCTGACTCCGCCGGGTGAACGTATTTACTCCTCAGCACAGTGCCAGCTACAAGCTCACCTCTGGCTCATTTGATCTTTCTCGGCGCAACTAACAAGAAAAATAATTTAAAAAGCAAAAGGGGGGACTTTCAGCACCATGGTGCACGTCTCCAGTATGCCAGGCTCGGGGAGGCACAGCCCCCTGCCCCCGTAAATGTCAGCAGGCTGCCGCCAATGCGGAAGCAGACCCGGGTGTCACTCACGCCTGTTCGCAGCATGCCGTCACCTCGTTCTTCCCACGGAGCAAGCAATTAAAAATGATGAGGGTAGAGGGTTAAATGTAAACCCTCTTGGTGGGGGAGCCGCCGGGCTTCCTCTCATGGGTGCCGCGCGTTCTCGGCAGACGCTGTGGATAAGCATGGCTGCACCTGTCTGCTGCCAGCCAGCGAGATGGGCGCGGGGGAGAGAAGAATTTTCTAAGAAAGGGCTTCGCACCGTCCTGGAAAAAGGAAAGAAGCGGGTCTCTGCTGTTTAGCCGAGGGCCTAGTTATGCTGCTACACAGGCAGCGTCGCAAATCGGCGTGGTCTTCTGATTTCAGAACTGGTCGGAGCCACAGGACCCCATGCCGCGGATTCTAGCACGTGGGCTGCAGAGTTTTCACTTACGGGGTGTGCACACCAGCTGCAAACGTTAGGAATGCACAAAATTCTAAGAAAAACAGGCTTGCTGCACGCTCTGCATTTTGGGCATCGATTGACTAGATACTAAAGTGCCCAGGGCCCTGATGGAGAGCGCTGGTGTCTGTAGCAACTCTGCGCCTGCGCATCGCTGGGGCACATTCTGTAGTGTCAACTTCTCTCAGCAAAGTCAGTTTGCTCATCGATAAGATGAGGGGCCGGAGGAGATGACCTCTGGGGCGCCTTCCGGTCCTGACATCCTAGAGGTCTGTGACACTCCTAGGAGGCGCTGGAGACCCGGTGGAGCTCTCTCGCGTCCCCGCGTGGTGCGGTACCCAGCACACAGACACGCGGCACGTGAAGGCGCGCAGGCAGCTTCCAGGACGGCAGCTCAGAGCCCCGCTTCGTGAAGCCTTCGTCTCCCTCCCGGGCCCCAGAGCGCTCTCCCCACCTCTCCTCTGACGTCAGCATTTCCCCGTCTCTTTGGCCTGCGCTCGGGCTGGGAGGGGAGAGGCCGTGGGGAGGCAAGCTGGGGTCGTGGATCACGGCTGTTTCCAGGGAGGTTTTGTGAAGCTCTGGGCACGTGGGGCCTGGGGGCGCTGGGGGTCTTGAGGGGCAGGAAGCTGAGGCCGCCCTTCTCCCTGTCCTTCCAGCAGCCAGGAGGCAGGGACTCAGGGAGGCCCTGGAAACTGTTTCAGGGTAAAATTCACGTGCATAAGTTTCACCACTCGAAGTGAACAACAGTGCAGTGGCACTTAGTACATTCACGTGCTGAGCAGCCGTCAGCTCCCTCTGGTTCCAAAACTTCTCGTCACCCCAAAGGAGACCCCGGGCCCATGAGCAGTCACTCGCCAGCCCCCGGCCGCCACCCAGCTGCATCTGTCTACGCGGGCCGCAGCACCAGCCCTCCCGGATGGGCAAGGGCCGTGGTGACGGCCACCAGGAGGCCCCACAGTCAGCAGACAGCACCCTTGGGGGATAAAGGGAGTCACCCAGAGGGACGCAGCCGCGCCCAGCGGATGACCCACGGGAGGCTCCCTCGGGGGCCCCAGGACCAGTTGCGGGGAGCCGCAGTGTCCTGGGGTTCTGCCGGCACTGCTGGACTTGTCTCCTCTCCCCCTCCCCCGCAGGGTCTCCCTGCGCCGTCTCCCTGGTGATGCATCGTTGCTGGGTGGGTGGATGAATCACCTAGTTGAGGACCCTCCCTGGATTCCTTGCTCTCTTTTTCTTCCTTTTCTCCTTCTTTTCCTGGCTCCTGAATCTCTCTCTCCCAAGCAGACGTATCTGAAGTGTGTGCAGGAGTCCTGTGATCCACTGTAGCTAAATTTGGAGGACGTACTTCTGAAATCACAGCGGTGGACCCCCTAACTCAGTTCACTGGGTGTTTTTATGGCTGGAAAAGGCTATGACCCTCTCTTAACATTGGCCCCAAAGGGAGGCCGTCACATCCGCTCAGGACACCTCCTCAGCCCCACAGGCTGCCGGACCTTCCTAGAAACCCCTGGAGTGACACGAAGGCCCTTCCCTCCTGGCGGGGAGTTCCCTAACCCTGCCCATCTCTTGGAGTCTGCAGGTCATCCCACTGGCTGAGGACCTTCCTGTGTGCTTCTTTTGACTCTTGTTCGCCCCAACAGCCTGGCTCCCGTCACACTGGCTCTGAGTCCTTGACACCCCACACTCCCTCTGCTCAGGACCTTTGCATGTGCTGCCGTGTGGCCTGGAAAGCTCTCCCCTGCCCAAGCTCTCCTCTTGCATCCCTCGGTGCTCAGCGGAAGCACCAGGACCTCATCCTCGGGAAGCCCTCCCGCCACACGTCTGGGTCAGGCTCTCTCAGAACCGGCCTCCTTCCTTCACGCAGAGCCCCCTGCCCCCCACCAGCCCCTGGGAGCCACATCCGCAGTGTGACGACCCACCCCCGCTCTGAGCTCCATCTGGCAGTCACTGTGCTTTTTGCTGACTGTTATGTCCATAAATCAACACGAATGGATGGATGTTGGTGCCCCGGGAGCTCTGCGTGTGCAGCTGCCTTCACCACAGGGCAAGGGGTTCCACCAGGGGCAGAATCCGGGGGCAGCCCTGGGGCAGGGGAGGCCACGGGGGTTCCAGCAATAACTCAGTGGGCCCTCAGGGGGCATGTTGGCAGGGACACCAGTATGACAGAGACTAACATTTACACAGCGCGAAGGAAAATGCATCTCGATGACAGATAGCCAGCCAGGTGCGCCCCTGCCCTTCATCTGGATGGGCAGCGTCCCAGCCCGAGGACAGCCAGCCCAGACTGCCGATCAGCCTCAACGCTGCTTCCCCGATTTCCCGGCGAGGGGTGAGGGAGGGGAGGCCCCCTGGAAGACGGAATCCTGCACATAGTTGAATTTCCTGGTGCTCAGGCCTTCCCACCATGTCCTGCTGGACGCTTTCCTGGGCATTGGTCTCTCACGTGTGCTTCTCGAATAGCCGTCGACGGTGCTATTGCCGCTCTAAATGCTGGGCCTTTTCAGCGTCGAGTCACATTTCAGGAGCAGGGCAGACGCAGGCATGTATCCGTTCTTCTCTGGACGGCTTCTCGGGATGAACAGGGCTTGGAAATGGAATCCGTCCTGTCAGAAGGGAGAGGCGGGCGCTGGGGGCCAGGCCTGGGCTGGGGAGGGGGAGCCAGCCCCCAGTTGTGCGAGAGGGTCAGAATGCCTAGTGCTGGCTGACCCCACACATCCCGCAGGGCTCCCCTCCCCACCCCTGGGGCCCCCATCCTGGCCCGGCCCCTCTTGGTGACCCCGTACAAGCCTGTGCGATTCCACCATCTGCGCTGCCATTTCCCAGTCACCTCCCACCCGGAGCCTCCGCTCTGTGTTCCCAGGTAGATCCCCAGAGCCAGGCACCAGGGGGCCCATAAATGTTTGTGGGATGAACAACCTTGTGTGACCTTGGCCCAGTGCTTTGCTCCCTGTCTTCTCAGGTGGGTAACATGGGTACTGGCCGGAGCTCAAGAAAAGTTGTGTTCATCCAGCCTCTACACTGCGCTGGCCCCGTTCATCCTTTGCTGCTGCTCCCAGAGGCCTGTGCTCAGAGAGGCCACTGTTGGTCGGTCGGGTCACACACCTGGCGTCCCAGCCCCATCCCGAAGGGACCTGCCGGTGTGGGCGTGGCTGCAGCGCACACCTGCGCCTGGAGCTCACGCTTGCCCTCCTCTGCTGCAGGCATCAGTGCATACACCTCCCCACCCTCCCGGGACCCCGCCCTCGGGCAGGTGTGCTGAGTCCTGCCCCCAGGGCCCAGCCGGCCTCCCCTGGCGCTGGCTGCCCAGGGGCCACGGCCGCCACCCCTCCAAGAGGACGAGGCAGCGGGGGCTGTGACTGTGTGTGTTTAAACAACTGGACCTGATTTCTCTCGGGAGTCCTCCCATCTCTTGTCACGTTTGTTTGAAACTAGTGGTAGTTAGCAAGCCGCAGAGACACGCGGCGGGGCTGGGCGGTGGGTGACGAGCGTCCGGCAGGCCCCACGTCCCGGCCTCAGAGGGAAGGAGGTTCTGTCTCCCTCCAAGCAGATCTCCTCTGGTGGAGCCTGAAGGAGGTTGTGAGCCCGGGGCCTGCACATCCAAGCAGGCATTTTCTCCCCGCGAAGTGTGGAAGACCTTCTCGGACCCTCGTGCTGGGACCACAGCACCCGGCCTGGCCCGCACAGGAGCTTGTGAGTGTGCGACGGCCTGGCAGCACCCTTGCCCCTAAAAGAGGAGGACGTTTAACCTGCAGAGATAGAGGCAGACTCCAGAAATAAAGAGGAAGCAAGAGGAGCAAAGTGGGTTGCAGAGGAAACAAAGATAGAAAATTGGGCAGAAAGGGCTAAGGTTGGTAAATGCCTCAGCACTGCTAGGTCCCAGCTACCACGTTGCCTCTGAGCTTCCTGGTAGCCAAAGCGAAGAGGGAAACTGCCTTGGGGCAATTCACCAGAAAAAGGCAAATGAGCTTCTGGGTGACAGGAACCGTTCCTGCCCCAAGACCTCAGATGCGTCTCTGGAGAGTCTGCCCCTCAAGTGCTCGCTTCCCTTTTTTTATTTTTTTTTTTAACATATTTATTGGAGTATAATTGCTTTTCAATGGTGTGTGTTTCTTTTGTACAACAAAGTGAATCAGCTATATGTATACATATATCCCCATATCTCCTCCCTCTTGCGTCACTTCCCATTTTTATGGCAAGACGTTGTGTTTGTAACCTTCTGAGCAGTGTTTGTATGTTGAGAAATTTAAACCCACGTTCCTCAGGGTTTCAAACGGAAGTTCACTTATTCAGAGCTAAAGTGCCATGAACGCCCCTGGTGTCTCAGAAGAGCAAACCTTCCTGATCTTTCCCTTTGAAAGAGAGACACAGCCCAGGCGCGCACAGGAAGGCACTGTTCTGAATTCCCTTCCTTCTGGAAAGCTGGCACCCCAGCACTGCGGGCACTCGGAACGGCCCCCAGCTCCCCGCAGGCACCTTCCAGCTCCCGCTTCCTCACTGACGAGGGCTCGGAGTCTCAGACATGATGGCGAAACCAACCTGTTGGGTTGAGCCGATCAACCAAGTCTCAGTTACACTGAAGCTGGAGGCTGGGTTCCATGTTGTCCCAAAGCCCCCACGCCTCCTCGCGTGGAGGGCCCGAGTCAGACCCAGGCTGGAAAGATGTTTAAAGCACCCGCGAGGAGAGGCCCAACTTTATCATCATAGGTCACGTCTGGTGGTGCCACCTTTAATGTCCTGAGGGCTCCCGTCCACGGAGGACGTCTGTCCCCTGCAAGGTACCAGGCTCCTGTGGACGGTACTCCGACCTTCCTGTTGGGGCAGCTCCTATGAGGGTGATTTTTTTCTCTGACGTTAGTGTCCACACTTCCCTCAAATGCCACCAAAGCTCTGCGCCTATTTTTTAAAAAAATACAACTACACCATCACTTAATCCTGAAGAAACTCAAACCCTCCCACTACTGTCCAATCCCATTCACGTTATTAGAAATTTTCTTTCAGAGAACAAAGGGCTTATTCATGTACTTTGTGCTAATCTCCTGGCAATCATAGAACTGTCATTTTTATCTTTGTCAATGACAGTTGAGCATCAGAAATGATTGATCCACTCCGTTTTTTGCTGATTTTAATTTGTTTACCGACGGGGAGGACAGGACTACAAAGGCAGTTTGGAATTTTCCTGTCACTTGAAAAAGAATGTGATTATCCCCCCACTAGGGGGGCATTTCCCTGGAGCCACAGCCCACTCCTCACCTTGGCTGCCCTCGTCCACCCGAGGACCCCTGTCTGTGAGCTCTGGAGTCTGTACACACACGGAAATGTCTGGTTTCCTCACATTTAAAAACATTTTTCTATTAAACCCACACGTGGGGATTGCTGGGGACTGGGGAGAGTCTGAAGTGAAGGAGCTGAAACAAGGGAACGTTCTGTTATTTATTATTTCAAGGCAGCCAACAATAAAAGGTGAACACAGGGGCAGACACTTATCAAACCTAACAGTGAGGAGCTCTTTTTAGTTTCTTGAATAAATAGTAATTAAATCATGTAAGCTGTAATTTCATGACAGTGAAATTGCTTAAAAAAACCAATCCTCCCACCATAATTGCTGAGATACCCACACTTTTATAAACACTAGGTAACTTTATCCGTCGTTTTTATCAGCAGAATGTGACACTGGCGGTTGGTGCCTCATAATTTACCACAACATTAGGTGGCAGCTGCAAAAGCACACATATGAAAAAGGCACTAATGTGATCCCAGTGAATGCGCGGCTTCCGAGATGTCTTTTCCTGCAGGGGGTTTACAAACAGTCCAGGTGATGGAGTCATTGGAAGGGGCTGACAATTCACTGCCTAATTACTGTTTGGGAAACACAGCAACGTGCCTGCCCTGCAATGGCAGTAGACTATCCGCCTTCCACACCTGCTTCCAAGTCACCGAGAAAGCTCTCGGCTGCCCCAAGGTTACCAGGGAATTGGTTGAGGGTAAAGAAACTCCTCCCCCCGCATGGCTCAGACTCAGGTTGAACCCAAAGTTGATAGTGACGGGGAGACGCGTTTGCAGAAATGAGAACAGCTGTGTTTCAGAGAGAATGAACATGCATTCGTTGCTTTTGGTCGATGTTCCTTTTTCTAAGGCCTCAGCTAATTCCCTACGGGGTAGAGATAAAACCCAGTACCTGAAGGTCGAAAAGTCAATTAAATCACCACTTTCTCGAAGCTCATTAGAGACCAAGGACCCACTGCTGGAAATAAGCTGTGCGTGGGCGCCTGCCCGCCAGCCTGGTCCCCAGCGCCCTGACCTTCTGCCCCTCCTCTTGCAGTCAAGTTCAGCAGCTGCCTGGGGACCAAGGGGACACACTATGAGACCGACAGCGTGGACTTCAAAGTCGGGGCTGACGGGACGGTCTTCGCCACCCGGGAGCTGCAGATCCCCTCCGAGCAGGTGGCCTTCACCGTGACGGCGTGGGACCGCCAGACGGCCGAGCGCTGGGACGCCGCGGTACGGCTGCTGGTGGCCCAGACCTCACCCGCGTGCTCCGGACACAAGGTAAGGTGTGACTACATGCGGGGGGGCGGGGGAGCTGGGTAGGGGTCCTTCCTCTTTCAGGTCACCGAGCAGAACCTCTGCAGAGGCTGACACTTGAGTGGGCGGCGTGGGCCGGGAGGGGGACCCCTGACCTCCCACCTTCCCAGACAGGGCTGCCCACAGGCTCCACCCCCGCTGAGTGTAGTGCACAGCTGTCAGCACCCTTTTTCGGACAAGGGCCCCACAGCTCCGCTTCTCACCGGGCACCTCTCCTGCCTGAGGCTTGTAGCCCACCAGCCCCGGAGGCTCCCAAGGCCTAGAGGGACAAGAAGTAAGACAGAGGCCACATGGCTGGCCTTGCGAGGTGGCCAGAGTAGCTGGCGTGAGACTGATTCAGAGAGAGGGAAATGGGGAGGGGGGAAGGAGGGGGAGGGAGTTCTCTTAGTTAAAGCCGTCATATATAAAATGTGGTTGCTGATGGTGGCCAAATTTTCTTATTTGAAGAGAGTATAAAATGCATCGTTGGTGAGGGAGACAGAAAGTGAAAGAGAGAGAGAGAAGGAGGGAGAGAGGGGGGAAGGAGGGGGAGGGAGAGGGAGGGGGAGGGATGGAACCCTTCACGTAGACACACACCGGCCACTGACACCGGCCTCCACAGCCCTCCCTCCAGCTTCACCTCTGACTCGGTTGCATGGCCCTGTTGACCGGACAGGAGGGGTGAATTCACTTCCCCTGGTTGGTCCTGAAAGGCCTCTCAGCCCCACAGGCCCCAGGAATCCAGGACCAGACCCCTCAGCCCCCAGAAATCCCCACATTAGGTTTCCCGTGTCTGAGGGGGGACCAGGTCTGCTCACCTCTGCCCATCCCGTGTTTCGGCAGCTGCGTTGGCCTCCGCATGAGGGCTCCCTGGTCAGCAGAGAAGTTGCTGCCCAGTTGACCTGCATGACGGGTCCAGCTACACACGTCCACCTACGTGAAGGGTGGACCCGTGGGGAGGGAGATGCCCTTACAATCAACAGGAGGCCTTGGGGTCATCGGTGTTATGATGTGCGTGCGGTTCACCAGCAAAAGAAACACACCAGTTAAAGCAGGACAGGCCATCGGGGACAGCATTTGTGGGTATTCCCTCGGAAAAGGGTTCGAGGGATGTAGAGGGTTAGACCAAGTTGACCAGATCCCTTTCTGCAGATTTGCCCAGAACCTCACAGGACTAAAGGGCTCAGTGAACCTCAGTGGGAGACAGTCTGCAAGTTTCCCCAAACCTATTTGACCAAGGAACCTTCTTAATGGGACATCTTACAAGGCAGGTGTTCTGAGGAACCCACTTTGGAAAGCAGGGGCTGTGTTTCATGTGTCTTGTTAAACAACATAGAGGTGGTTTTGGTGAGAAAAGGGAAAATGGTGACTCGGTGGATAGCCTTATCTTGGTGGTGAGCTGACCCCATTGGGAAGGACGTCCTGAGTGCCCTCGTGGGTGTGCTGAACCAGGTGTTGAAACACGCTTCTAACAGGCGCCCCCCAGATCGTGAGCCTCACCTTGGGGATGTTGAAAACCCTGAGACAGATGGATGTGGTTTTCCATTCCTTCCCGAATGACCGTGACAAGCCACACCCTGGTGAGAGGGCAGCATGGCCCACGCAGGGGCCCCTCCCTGTAGGCAGCCAGGCCAGGGGCAGCAGTGGGAAGGCTTACATCCCTGACTGTGATGCAAAAACTGCACCTTGTGGGCAAGGAGTAGGGCTCCCTAACACCCATGGATGGCCTCAGATAAAAGGCATTAATTAAAAATATAGGGACTTCCCTGGTGGTCCAGTGGTTGAGACTTTGCCTTTCAATGCAGGGGGTGTGGGTTTGATCCCTGGTTGGGGAGCTAGGATCCCACGTGCCTCGTGGCCAAGAGACCAAGACATAATACAGAAGCAATTTTGTAACAAATTCAGTAAAGACTTTGAGGATGGTCCACATCAAAAAAAAAAATCTTTACAAAAGTAAAAAGAAAATAGAAATAATAGCACCTTTTGTCAGGCATGTTAATGAAGCAATTTCTGATGCAGTTAATCCCCTAATCCTCCAAAAAGGGTGACTGCAGTTAGTCCTCAGGACACGTGAACCTCCAACCCCACAGCAGGCAGGCCCAAGAAGCACCCGATCTGCAGATTCCACATCCCAGGCTCAGAGCATCCTCGGGGCTGACTTTGTGGGGTTACACCCTGAGCACATGAAACATGACCCTGTAGGTGGTGGGCAGAGTCTCTGCAGCCCACCTGACCCAGTCCTTCCCTGTTCATTTCATGTCCCCTTCGTTGCTGATGGCTCCCTGCTTCCTCCTCCTTCAAATCCAAAGAGCCCTGCCCTGACTTTCTAGGACCCCACCTAGACCCTGCCCTAAGTGCGTCCACAGTGAGCCTCACAACATCTCCAGAAGTGGGTGCTGTCACTGTCCACACTTTACAGAATCATGTGACTGCAACCTCTTTGCTGCATGGGAGAACCAATGATCTGGAAAGGAGTGAAAAAACGACTTTCTAGGGACAGCTGAGCCTGGCATCGTAACGGAGCCTGGCTGCCCTGGATTGTCAGTTTGAATCAAGGCTTCTCCAGCTTACTGGCTGATGTTCTAGGACAAGCATACAACCTCTCTGAGGTTTACTGCTCTCGAAAATGGGATGGCTGTGTTACCTACATCCTATCCAAGGGTTGTTGAGAGGATTGTGTGAGATTATGTGAGCTCAGGCAGGGTGCAGCTCTATGAGAGCCCTGTGTCCCCAAAGAGGCAAAACATGGTTGCTCTCATTGCTGTCACTGGCATGGTCCCAGCCCTCTGAGTCACGTGCTCACCATGGCCACTGGGCCCCCACCAGGGTGGTGCCAGGGGGACAGGGAGGAGGGTCTGTGTGGGACACTGGGTCACTCAGTTGATGTGCCATTACAGAGACCAGTGCCAACCTTTGAATAACGTCACTCTGTGTAAATGGGTTAAGGTGATGCCAGATTTCTGGTGTCCTTAGTCACCTGCCAGAAGCAAATGTAAATCTTCTCCAGGGGAAAGTACCACACCAGACCTCAAATTATATATCCGTTTATATACAATGTCTAGCGCTCAACTGAAAATGACTGGAGGGACAAAACAAGATAAATAAAAATCAAGAGGAGGAGCAGATGATAATCAAAGACCCACAGGGCTCCAGGTAATAGAGTTATCAGACATAGATTTTATCATAATTATGCTCACTGTCTTTAAGCACATTAAATGCAAGATTTTGACAGAGGATGGGAAGATTAAAAAAGAATTAATTGGGCAGTTTAGGACTGAAAAATATAACAAACGAAATTAAGAGCTCAATGGACAGATATATCTGCAGATTAGACACAGTTGAAGAGAAGATTAACGAAGCAAAAAACATCAGAAGAAATATTCAGGCCAAAGTGTAAGGAGATATCCAGAGAGAAAACACAAAGGAAAGAGTAAGAGATATTGGGAAAATGGTAAGAAGTTCTAACATGAGTATGTTTGGAATATGAGGGGGAGAGACAAAATGGAGCAAAAGTAATATATGAAGAAATATCGGCAGAAAATATTCCAAAACTGGCAACAGACATCCAGGCATAGATTCAAAAAGCCCTATGAACTCAAAACAGGATAGATATAGAGAAAACTGCACTTAGGCACTTTCTTAGTCCATTCAGTAGGCTATAACAAAATACCATGGACTGGGGGGCTTACAAACCATAGAAATTCATTTCTCACTCTTCTGGAGGCTGGAGGTCTGAATCAGAGTGGCACAGGGTCAAGTTCTCATGAGGGCCCCTCTTCCAGATTGCTGCCTGCAGACTTATATCTTCACATGGCAGAGAGCAAAGATAGGAGGCCAGCTCACTCACAACTCCTGTAAGGACACTAATCCTGTTATGGAGACTCCATCCTGATGACCTCCCTTAATCCTAATCACCCCCAAAAGGCCTCACCTCCTAATATCATTCCATTGGGAGATAGGGTTTCAACAAAAGAATTTTGGGAGGACACAGTCCACAATAGGCATTTTAAGGTAAAATAGCTGAAAGCAAAAGTCAAGGAGAAAATCTTGGAAGCAAATAGAAAAGACAGAGTTTCTTTGAAAGAGGAATAATTAGATGTAAAACTGACTTCTCAACAGGAACTACGGAGGTTAGAAGACAATGGAATGAGATTTTTAAAGTGCTAAAGAAAACAGAATTCTATGATTCAGTAAAATGTCCTTCACGGAGTAAAGGTGAATAAAGACAGTTGTAAACAAATAAAAACTGAAAGAATCTGTCACAAGTTGTGTTCTTCAGGCAAGAATAAGATGATTTGAAGTAGAAAATCAAGAATGAGAAGATTAAGTAGATGAGAAAATACCGGTGTATAATTACAGGGTAATGTTTTGTGGGATGTAAAGAAGATGACTCAGATTCATGACGAGAATGACATAGATTTTTGAGAAGGGATAAATGGAGTCAGAGGGATCGAGGATGCTTGCGTTGTCCTGGAAGACGATGGAAATATCAAACTAATATTATACTTGGTTGAGACACATCACTAAGAGCCATAGTGATGGATTCATTACTTTAAGGTGCACATGAAACACTGACCACGATTGACCACAGTCTAGGTCCAAAAGTAAATCTTAACTTCAGGAGAGTTACCTAAAGTCTACATAGTGTCTAAACTAGCACTAAATTGATTAAAATGTATCTATTATAAAAACAGATATTTATTTCTCTTGGAATTTTCGTATAATTCTAACACTGCCGTATATGAAGATCTTATGCTATAGCTGGATAATTTAGTATTAGTAACACAGCACTGGGCAGGGGACAGCTAAATTCTCCCTCCATTCTAGATGTATTTCTTGTTTATCGTCACCTTTTTTAGTCCTCACATTTAGGCAGTATTTTTTTAAAACACCCTTAAATAACATAATTTGTCATTTTCCCTGGTAATCAATGTGAATTTTCAAAGAAACATGCTTCTTAAACAATAAAAAAGAGTCATAGGATT